CAACAGTGCTGCTGCTTTGCGAACGCAACCTGCACGACCACAGATTAGGGCAGCTGCCATCGCCACACGAGTCGCCTCGATCGAACCCAACCCGCCAGCCTAAGTAATTTGACATGTCCTGGGATTTGAGATTTGACGCCGAGGAAGCGACACTAGGTGAAGCATTATCTGAGATGATGCCGACTAGCACATCCACAAATTCGAGGAGGTATGCCTTTCGCGTGTATGACGGAGCTAATCCAAGCCACCGGCTCATTTTTAGTGCTATCTCCTGATTTTCAGTGCTTTCGTCACACCTTTGTACTATGACACTGGACACACTGATGCCAGCGGGGTCCAGCTTTCGCCGTGTTTCAGACAAACTCGCAAAGCTTCGCGTGCACAAGCACTGACCTGGTTATTGCACCTTGACCTTTGTCTCGCTAGGTTTGGCGCAGTCGCAAACACAACATAGCAGATATCTGCCCGTACCAGGCTGTCGCTTTACATCAGGTGAATATCTAGTGACAGGAAGCTCCCCCATCTTTTGAGTTCCAGTGCCATCATAGGGAAAACCGATAGGCAGAGACACCAAGCCTGTGCATATCGCCTCACAATAAAGGTTCCCAACTCGGCTCTCGCACCATTCTCACTTCCACTCTCGATATAGCTAATTGCAGCAGCACACCAAGTAGACAGGGCACCCACATACCACTGGACATCATCCAAACCTTTCAACTCAACACTAGCAAGGGCCGCATACTTGGCTGCCTGAGACGTCATCTGTCTGAATATTAAATCAACTTGCTTCGCTCAGCTTCATGCATCAATTGGTGACCCTGCTAGCAAGGCAAGATCTGCAAGCCTCTTTGCCGTCCGCGCCTTTTGAATTTTCCCAGACATACTTGGTATTACTTGTTGGCGGTCTAGTGAAGATCCCAGGGGCAGCCCTATTAACAGTACACGATTAATGTGCACGAGAACCCGTGGCCATCGATGCGGAAAGACGTACTTTGTATGAGAGGAACGCCAGATAACATTCTAGTACTAGGTTTTGTTGACGCGAAGTGCTCAACCGCCAGCCTGAAAAGTCAAAGTTCGTTATCGCTACTCAGAGAAGGACCCAGGCCGAAACGCTGCGACATCCGCACGAAGTGCTAGATAAGCATCTAGTATGACTGATTTTACAATGTCATCGAATCTGTGGTGAGTTTGATATTCCTGCCACTGAGGTGGGTACAAGGCTCTGAACTCTCACGTTGCTGGCTGGAGGGTACCGCGTTGCAAGCAAAAGGGCGCGCAATCGACATCAACGTATACACCCGTGGATGCTATGCGAGCAGGATCGGCATTATGCTTACTCGTTGCAAAATCTATGGCAAGCTCTTCGGCTTTGAACTTGTTTTTGTCAGCAGTATATGCCTGCAACCCAATAACCGCCCGTACGCGGCCTAAGATGTCATGATGAGCCCCTGTGTGGGAGATACCCAACTCTGAAGAATGACGATGTGGTTGGTCAACCCAAGGACAGGCATCGGGTTCACACTCATGCAAAGAATTTGCATGGAGAACCACGAAACTAACTGACCCAGACTCCCAGGAGAGGTTCTCAAATGCTGAGTCTCCATCGCCTGTGTGTTTGCAGTCGCGCAGCAAGTTAGGAGCGCCAAGCGAGTTGAGCGAAATCGGCCCAGAACAAATGTGTGTAATATCATTTTTGCACCGCTCAAAAGAGCTGCTACTTATAGGAGACACTGGAACCAAAAGTAAGCGAATTTCCCGATGCGACTCCCACGCGCTGTCTACCGCGACAATACGTCCCGTTTGTCTTGCGCGGGTCGAAGGCATATTCTATTGCTCACTGAAGTTGCAGCGTTCTTGCTTCTAGCGCGTGGAGGGCCGCTATGGCGGTGTGAGCGGCATCGATGGGACGCGAGGGGCTCGGGTGCGTCGCCTCGCCGCCTCTAGTCGTCCTCGCTTAGGGCACTAGAGCATTAAAGGAGAGCATCGTGACGCACTCACTTAGCTCATCCGAGGACGCCGGTCCCCCCTCACAAAGGTTAATCTAGAGCAGCTCGCGTCGGCGAAACGGCGCCACGGGGCGCGCGAACGCGCCCCCGAGCGCCAAAGCAACAGCAGCCATTGAAATTAAAAATAAGATGAAGCCACAATGAAGGCCAACTGTCAGCCACAAATTCAGCCGTCCTGCCAACGCTTTTGCTCGTGCATCGATGCAGCGATTCTAAGATTTGGCGCTGCGCTCGATCTGTGGACCGTGCCGCGCCTCGGGGCCCGCAGCAAATCGCTCGGGAAACGCCGTCGGTCGAAGGCGACCAACTTAGCTCGCGTCGGGGCAGCCCATGGATGACGAGAACGGCCATTGACGGTGAACGGCGGTCGATGGGGGGCCAACCTCGTACCAGGGGTCGAGCTGACAGCGAGAGTGCGAGGTGACATCCCCTCGATTGTCCTTTTCGACTGGCTCGGCAAGGACTGCGCTGCCAGCTCGGAACATGCGTTCCGCGGTCAGCGCCGTGGCATTCGCGACGCTCGCGCCTCTCGGAGTCGATGAGGTGATCTCGATCAAATCGACTCGAGCCGGAAAGCTGCCGCGAACGCATCTGATCGCCCTCATGACGAACGATTCCCGACGCTCTGTGGCTCGAATTTGACTCAAAATCGGGTCAGGGGAAGCTGCCGCGCCTCGTCCCACCCCCTGAAGCGGTCCGTTTGCATCGCCTCACAATTGTCCGGATGTCGCGTCTTCGCAGGTGCCTCGTCCATATGTTTGCGGACCTCAAAGCTGCTGGGATCGTTGCACATCGCTGCATATTCGCGGAGCGCGGGACGTTTCACGTTGTCGTCATGTTATTTTTAATTTCAATGGCCACCATTGCCCTGGCGTCCCGGGATTTTCCGCGCCGGCCTGGGGCGCTGCGCGCCGCCAACAGACGCCTCAAAATTAAAAGGTTACGTCCGGCAGTACTCCCGGAACCCGAGATAACATATGGGGTACGTCTGAGCTGTGTCGACCACCGTGACCCCCACATGAGACCCCCCGCACCCCGAGGCCTCTCCAGATAGGCCGGGCGCGGTAACTGTGTCTCGCATCGTGGCTAGAAACTCCCATCACCCGGAGCCCTATACCGGAACTAGAGCCGCTCTAGTTCGCTCTAATACTAGTAGGTCCCGCGGCCCCGCGGCCGCCGGCGGCGGCAGAACCCCGCCCAGAACCCCCCCCCCCGCGCCGGACGGGACCCCAAGGAACCCGAAACGCCCCCGAGTTTTTTGGTCGGCAGCTGGGGGCTTTACTCAGGCGCCGGGGGGGCGGGTGGGGTTCAAACTAGAAAGCGTCGAATTTCCCGCGGGCTGCTTCGGCCGGACCGGTTACCCCAGCAACCTAACTTCAGATGCGAGCTGAAGTAAAATCCGCGCGATTTACGTAAATTACGCGGGTTTCTGGGCCACGTGGTTTATGGCGCTAATCACGCGTGATTGACGCATGGTTTTGAACCTTCGTTGGGTTTCTCGTGTCCAGCTCAGCGCGGGGGCCCGGGCGAGGCCAAAACTAGAACGCGCCGAATTTCCGTGCGGCTACGGTGAGTTTACACTAGGATTCCAGCAGCATTAGCCCGACGCCTGCGATTGACCATCTCGACTACTCCCTTCGACTGGACTCGCGTGAATTTGCATGCTGGTGTTGGCGCCGCGGTCGATAGTAAGAGTATTATAATGCGAATCAACACTTGGATCACTGGCCATCGGAGAGCCACAGAATTCCAAGAACTCGTGCAGTCTCTTGAAAAGCAGTCCGGAATCACGAAGGAGTATCTCGATATTGTTGTGCCCCGCGCCAGCAATCCAGAACGGCTTGTATCGCCATCGTATTTGCGTTGCAATGAATAATTCCTGACCATGCCAGAAGGGAACAACTTCGTCGTGAGTTCCGTGCATGATGAAAACAGGACATTCAATACTCGGGATTCGATCAACATTTGGAAAAATATCACCGGGTAAGGTGATGCGGAAATCGAAGGCTATCCGGAATACAGACAAGATTGGTGATTGTAGGATGACTCCTGCCGGCGGTGTTCTTGCCTTGCAGAGCTTCTCCGAAAGATAAAGCGTTGGTCCAGATCCAACTGACCTAACGTGGGTATCCCTGGTGTCTAGACTGGAAGTAGACTTACTTACCGCGAGTAGAAGATGATCTGGTTAGGGTGGATGCGGCGGATCATTGTGAGGTATTCCCACAATGCGTCAATGTCAGAGTATACATCTTGCTCTGATGGTTTGCCTTCACTCCCAGCATAGCCCGTGTAGCCTACTCCATTTCTCATATGGATCGCGACGCAGCCACGACGCACTGTATGAGGCGACATTGACGTTAAGACGAGTTGAGACATCTCGTAGCCACGGATATATCATGGAAACATCCTCTGCGTTTGCGTGAGAAAATAATATCGTTAAAGACGCTTGCCGACTTATGAAAAAAGCCTCGATTTTGGATCCGAGCCGAGTTTCGAGCCAAACATGATTGGTATCGACGTTGTCGAAAATGCATGAGGAGGTAGTTCTTGTTGCAGGCGGTTGAAACACCAAGTTTCGAGCGACCGTACCTCCCATCGCGATTTATGTAAGTCACGTCCGAGAGGCCGTGTCGCTGAACTCACTGGCGCAATGGATAGCGCACCGGACTTCTATGTCTGTGCTGGCCATCCGGGGGTTGTGGGTTCAAGTCCCACGTGAGTTGTGCCCTTCCCGTGACCGCTTTTTTTTAGCGCGCAACGCGCGGCACTCCCCCCCCATGCAGGTTTCTGGCGGTTATAGACATTTACATTCACCGACGTACGTGGTACGGCCGCTACGCGGCCGTGCTCCCCCTGTGAGTACGTGTCTGTTACTGAGAGATAAAGTGCGCTGACCGCGTTGTCCGAGTGTTTGGACTGTGTGCGAGGCGGCAAGCCCGAGTGGCGGCGAGTTTGTGTTGGATATGAGTTGTGAATGATGTCGTACATGTGCAACTCGGGCGAGAGCTGCGAATCCGAGGAACGCGCTGCGCAAGGTGTCCCGCTCGGCTGTCCTACTCGCCCGCAGCGCGCTGGCGCCGGAATGCGAGCCTAGTCGCGCGAGCTTTCGGTGCATGGCCGCCTTCCCCACGTTCTAAGCGCATAACTAAATAGAGCGAGAAGCCCCCCCGGGTCGACCGCGGACGGAGCCAGTCGTCGGCGGTAGTTTCCGGCGCTGATGGAGGGCCACGGGTTCGGGCCCCGCCCACGCGATGGGCGTGGAATCCTCGCCGCACTCGTCGCCGGCGGCCGGCGTCAACTCCAGCCGGGGCTGGTAGCAAAGCTGTAAGTAAGTGTTACAAACACTAACTCGATTTATCGAAACATTCGTAGACACTTCCGTCAGCTCGACGGAACAGTTGCTGGTTCGATTCTTTTTTTATTCACATGTAATTTCGCCTTTTTTTGGCCGTTGAAACACTTGCCAACATTTGCCTCTCCCCCCTAAACACTTACATTTTGTGCTCCAAAACACTTCACTGGAACTTTGCTACCAACCACGACTCCAGCCCCGGGTCCTTGTTTCCCCCGGCCTATAGTTAGTGGTAGGCTAGTGGTAGATACAATTAGTTGACGAAACGGGACTGACAATGCGAACTCAATCGACGCCTCCCGCCACCACCGATCCTCCGGCTGCATTCATTTCGCAGCGAAAAAAACAGCCGGCTCTCGCACTCACCGGCGACGGCATTCAAAACGTGCAACCGCCAATACCGTTGATGCTATCAACTGAAGCGATGCATGTGAATTCTCTAGACGAGTCACGCATGAGAATGTCGTTTGGCGCGTACGCCTGGATCGAAAAAAACGCGCAACGCCGCAAGCGCCGTAAGAGCTGTAGAGTGAAAAGTAAAATCCACCGACGGGCTCCTATCGCTGGGATTTCCCAAGATGCTGTGATAAAATTGCTTCCTGAACCGCTACATGGGATATATATTGATAAAGCGATGGCTCAGGATTCGAATGGACTATCAGCGTCAATTTTCTTTGGTGCCGTGCGACGTGGAGTTGAATTGGGTGTCTTTCCTGAAATTTTGGGGACATCGCCAGAGGACACTTTTGAACTTACAGCAGAAAGATCCAAACTTTTTATGCGGCCCACTGCTGATCGTAGACGGCAGCAAGAGTTGCCTGTGCTACCCAAAGCCACGGCGCTATCCATGGCTGCACTCGCTTTCGAACGTGCCACCGAGGATCTTGATGAAGAGTCCTCGCATCTAGAAAGCAGCGCGCTCAATTCTCCAAGGAGCAACCAGGGCTCGATCGCTGATCTGAGGGCCTGGGATCAGCAACATGATGACCTGTCAATGAAAAATGTTCCCATGGAAGCACAGTCACCGAGTGAAGCGCAGCTGTTGCCAGGCAGAAAGTTTCCTCCCCAGCAGCAAGATGATGTAGCGATATCAACAAGGAAGGAAGCTACCACTTTACTGCCAGAGCCCTCAATCGTTCAGCCTGAACACACAAGCCCGCGTGTGCTCTCGAGGGACGCAATGGCACTGGCATCAGCTGCTATGGAGGAGCCCCCCCCTGCTCCAGCAAAGTACCCGCACCTCGAAGCGGGTGGAATCAGCTCTGACTCTAGCTCTGATGAGCTGGAATGGGGCGAGCAGCAAGAGAGTCTCGTAGCAGTTGAAAGTAAAAAGGTGGGGGGGTCACATTTTGATGAGCACTCAAAGAAGCGCGTGAAGGCGATGCGCCTCAAGGCAGCAGCGAGGCGTGCTAAGGCTGAATTGCACGCCGCAGCAACAGCTGCGAAAACGACAGCGGGTCGTGAGGAAGAATCTGAGCGACTCAGTTTTTTGGGACTTGCAACTGACCACGACAAGCACAATGTGCAGCAACCACTTATTGCACGCCAGATCCTAACACAAGCGTCAATTGCAAGTCCAACAACGGCGAGGGGCTCGGGATTCGTGATTCGCCACGCGGCACGCATCTTGGATAGTGCGATTACAATCTTCAAAGATGGTTGCTGGCAGTCTTGCCTCATCATGTGTTCTACAATAGTGATGTCCCTTCTCGACGCAACAACTTGTGTTGTCCCTGCGCTCGAGCTCCGCGCTGCCTGTTGGATGAAGCTCAGGGTCTGGAACCAGGTAGTGGCGGACTGTACCTTGGCATTACAGACCAGGGGCGCCTCTGGCGCATCACTGTCCCGCGCCTACGCGCGGCGTGCACATGCTAGACTCCAATTGAGCTACGTGTCATCCGTTCGTGATCAAGCGGGGCATGATTCTGTTCAACTCGCCAATTCTGCCCTCGTAGATGCAAAACTTGGGCAAAAGTGCGAGGAACAGACAAGCTCCTCTGGGAATGTAACATCTTCGCGTGGTGTTGCGGGCATTTTCGAGGAGGATCCATGGCTCATCCTTGTAGGTGTCTTCCGATTATTGGGAAAATTTAGGGTGGCTCATACAGAGCTTGAACGCGCAAACCAGGCACACCCGCACGATTGGCGCGTGTGGTGGTGTCTTGGAGATCTGCTTGCAGAAGAATCCGGCCTCACCGCAAATGCTTTCTATGTACCAGCTTTAAGCCGACCCGGCTTAGTCTCAGTCTTGTATGAAAAAGCTGCTGCGTGTCGTATCTTGTCGACGGGCACGTTTGGATCCACTGATGCCATGACCTTGCACAAAACGACCAATGTGATCTCCGATGCGGTGGCCATGGCAGCCAACGACGATATGATGCAACATTTACCCTTCAATTTAATT